CCTACAAGTAGAAAGTAGTTTCGATTTTCTAACTTGATGAAAACAAACCATAATCTCATTAATTCTTTAACAGACTTTAGCCCGTGATGTTACGATTATTAAAAAACATCTGCCAGTTTGAGAACAAATGCTATTTAGGTTTGTTTTCACCGAGTTACAAAATCAAAACTACTTTGTACTGGTAGTAAAATCTGTATTTGATTGATGTCAAATAGGATTTTGCATGACATATCTTATAACATAACACTTTCTCTCGTGGAAGCGAGGTGGGTGCCAATATAACACTACTTACAATATTATTGCCACTTCCACCACAACCTCGCTTCCGAGAAAGAAATCGTTATGCTTCAAGTTGTGTCATGGGAAATCTTTTTGGTCATCAATCATATATTTATTGTACTACAACTATAAGGTTGTTTTGATTCTTTAACTTCCGCGAAGCGATCTGAACACATTTAAGATATCGTTCCAAGCTTCCACAACGCTCGCTTCGCACTCATAAACATAACCCATTTAGCACGAACTACGGGGTCCGGTGGAAATTAGTGCATGGTGACACCATCACTCGACCCCTTAGGAGGGCAACGCAACGATTCGTTTTGCCTCGAGTAAGTTTCGTTGTTCAGACCATCCTTTAATGTTGGAATATGGGCGAAAAGTAAATATAAAACAACATGAGCGCTTCTGCCCTCTGTGTATTGTACTTACCATTGAATCAGAGTACCAATTCTTTATTGAATGTTCATTTTACTGTGATCTGAGAAACAGCCTGCTACAACAATACTACATAAATAATCCATGTGAAACTAAATTTATCAACTTATTATTGTCTTGCAATTCTAGAACTGTTAACAATCTTGCTAAGTTTATATTTTTTGCATTGACAAAAAGAGCGAAGTTGTCGAATATAGAGTATAAGGTTAAATGAGACATTGTACATGTTAGCATACAGCTTAATATTATATATGGCGCTGGATTGTATTGTTATCTTCATAATTGTATAACGGGTCGGTGGCCCTTGTACGAAATTAACTCTCACTCACTAGATATAAGCTTCCGATGACACATACTTAAACTAAACGTGACAAAATTCACTTTTCACCCAAAACATTGAACATTTAAAATGTGTTCACCACTGCAATTTCAACTAGTCAAGTCGATCATCCTTTCGTTAACCCCTTAAACAATCATTACTAAAACAACACCAAACATCAAAGACTACCGCCAGTCGCCTTAACGACCCCATGAAACACTCATGCCGCCCCATGCCACTATTGCAATTAGCCCATGCAGAACAGTAATTTACCATCACCCCACCAGTTATCTCCCCTTGCGGATATTTCCAAGATTGGAAATTTTTGGAAACATCATCTTTCCAAAATTGGAAAGTCTTGGAAACATCATCTTTCCAAAATTGGAAATGTCTTGGAAACATCATCTTTCCAAGACATTTCCAAGCTTGGAAAGATGGATTTTTTTTCCAGTGGTACTGGCACAGCAGCTGTCCTCGGGTGTGACTCCATAGACTGTGAGGCAAAGTCTTGTACTGAAGAGGTGATCAACACTCACGCTCACTGTCCTCTATTCTTGTGAGCAATCACATCAGTGAAGACTTTAATTTACTGTATCTTTCTGTAAATTGGGACGAGGCAGGGAAACCTAATTAGCTCGGTCCTTTCATCTTCGGACGAAGATTGCGACTGAAAAACACACTACTGGAAAGTTGTTGCCTAGTACGCCAAGGAAGTCTGTGTAATAGTCACAACATAAGAGTTATGAAGTCAGTCAAGGGATTGTACTCATAACAGGCCTCTGTTGTACATTGCCATCACACGGTTCTTACCTATCTACCAGAAACTTAGTTGTTTACCTATCTACAGACACTGGGTAATGTGCAACCCGCCATTCGACCATGGGATAAGTACAATTTGTGAGACAGGATAAGGTTACAAATCGGGAGGTTTAACTACAAATTGTATATTTATGTAATTATCCTATCTCATACGATGGATGCTCACCCGACTACCCCACTACACAGATTACTCCCCATAAGAGAATGATAAGACAAGGGAGTCACATGGGCAATCAGGATACATGCTGCATGCTTCGCAGAAGCTGAGACTGACGAGGAATCGGAGCAGTGGGGAGTGTTTGAAAGAGAGGTTGTAAAGTTTGTTTGCAGTTCGTGTTCATTCAGCTGTCGAATCATGAGAGAGAGAGTACACTATGTGAGATATGATAAGTATATAAATATACAATTTATAGTTAATATTTCCAAATTTTGGTGATCAAATAAGCGTGTTTAATCAACTAAACTATGACCTCGATCTTCATGTGAAGTTATTCTAGATGTGGACATTGTGTATTAGATCGTGGTCCTGACAGTATCTGCTCAACATGTAAACCTAAGCATGGTAATAACGATAGTACATGTTTTCCATGTGCCCATCTGGTGTATTACGAATATGCCAACTATCTATCCATATATCTTCAAGGAAAAAAGGGCTGATAGTCCAGATTTGATGAGGTCATATTACAACGATGTATTGGCCACAGAAGATACACAGATTAATATTTATTTAAGGGGAAGATCCTCCATTTTGTATCTCTTGCTATGAGACAATCACAGTCAAGCATATTTTGCTTGACTGTGTGGAATTTTCTCTCGCAAGGGATATATATTACAAAGTTTCACATTTAAAGGATCTTTTTAACACACTCCGTTCTCATTTAATAACAAGGTTTTTAAAAGAAATGGCATTGTTAAGTAGCTTTTGAATGGATGTGTTTAACTGAGGTTGATGTAATCAAAACTATTATTATGTTACTATTTAATGGGGTTGAAGTATCGTAAAAAGAAGATTGTCCCCAGATGATGGCATAATGATATTGTAGTACATTGCAGAAAACCGGAATTATATTGCTTCAGTTGTATTGTTTAAATTTCTGGAGAGCATTGTTTACAACTACCAGTGGCTGAATTGATGGTAAAAATCCTGCTGGAGACTCATGCAGGAAGCTGACGTACTGTAAGTCCCCAGGATCCCTAGCTTTGCTTGTTGGTGGTCCATAGTCGTGACAGATATTTATCATATATACTAACTTTGTTCTCGTCATTATATAGCTGAAATATTGCCGGTGTGGCATTAAATGTTAACTGACCCATTCACTAAAGGAAAAAGAGATGGTCAAGAAGGGGGAAATCTCAAGGTCAACTTCTACAGAGCAATTGGCAAAATTAGAATTTGTTCGTTAAAAAAATCCTCTGAAGAGAACATTAATATTCAATCAATTCAATTTTCTTCTGACTCTGGTAGGCGGTCTATGGAGACGGATAGAAATGGTGCACGTAATAAGAGGAGAAGTGTCTTCATAAGAACTGCATAGTTTTCAGAAGTTATCAAAATTGAAGAAGGCATGAAGAAGACATCGTCCATCACAAAACTGTCTGCAAGTATCATTTCAGGATTTGCAAACCATTTGGCTACAGAAGAAGATAATGAGATCTGCAGGCAGGGTTCTCCGAAGAGAACCCTTCACGTAGACCTTTAGCAGGCTTCAGCAGTATTACAACCTCAAATTCTAGATTGACATTCACCGCAGCTACCTACACTTTGTTAAGCGACGTGGAGCATACATCAGACAGACTTCACGCAGCTCAGATTTACATGCAGCCTCAGCCTTTCATTCAACGTCACACCACTCGGCCATACATCATCTTTGAATGATGTCCGTATATATTTTACAGATTTATAGAATAAAAAGACTTTAATCAACGACGCATGAGTCCGATATCAGCTTGATCGTGTTCGGGTGCGATGTATTTGCTGTTCTTGGGTCATACAGCACATAGTTTCCACTATATCTTGGATGAAGGGAGAGAGAAGTATTGAGTATTAGTCAGAATAAGTGTAAAACAATATTATTTCTCTGAAAAATTCATTGTGGAAATCCAGCGAATAACGGCTGTCAAGAAAATCATTTACGTGCCTTATTAATCGTCCTGTGCCATGAAATGCGACAATATTTCAGTTATGTACATAGGAATATTTGGTCATGATCAGCCTAATTGAAATAAAGAATTTTAAAGAAATGCTATTGCTACAATATGTCTGAAATACTGCCTATTTAATCACTTACTTTTGTGACATAAATACACTGAAACAGTCGTAAAGATATGGAAAAAGCATTAACAACAGTCTTGTCCATACTTAATAGGAGTTAACGTGAAATGACTGAGACTCCTTGCTCCCTCTTTTACTATGTAATTCAGAGCAAGAAAGGTACGATTAAGAGAGGTTAAGGACATTCTGAACACATTGCTTATTTTTGATATATAATGTTATCGAGAAGCAAGTAGGATAGATGTCCTTAACTTATGAACAGTTCAGGAGCTTAAGTGACTTCCCACCACCATCTGACGGATTCAGACGATTAGTAGGTAAGTCAGGATAAGGATAAATATGCAATTTGTACTTATCCTGAATCATACACTAGTATAACTACCACTCGTGCACTCCACTAACACCTTTCTCCGAGTCAACAGACTTGATCGTGTTTAGGTGAGATGCCTTTACTGTTCTTGGGTCAGATAACACATAGTTTCCACTATATCTTGGATGAAGGGAGAGATAAGTATTCAGAATAACTGTAAACTAATCGGAATTCAGAATTAGTGAAAAAGAATATTATTTCTCTGTAAAAGTATGGGAGTCCAGCGAATGAGGGTTGTGAAGGAATAACAATGAACATGAAACCATATTTCTGTTATGTACATAGGGATATTTAGTCATGATCAGCCTTATTGAAATAAATAATTTTATAAATGCTATTTCTACAATATGCCTGAAATACTGCCAATGTGACCATACTATTTATTCACTTACATTTGAGACATAAATACACTGAAATAGTCGTCAAGATATGGAAAAGAACATGTCAAGACTATTGCCAATATTTAAAAGGAGTCATATGTTCCTTTCACCTTTTCTTTCAAACAGACGCCCCAGTGATCACCTATGTCCCCAGCAACAAGGATGTGACAGAGAACACCAGTCCCAACATCGACTGTAGCAGTAACATCACACCAGGCAACCCTTCAACAACAAGCTACAGGTGGACAGGTCCAGGTGGTTACAGCAAGGGTGGGGCTGTACTTGACAGACGTGTAACCAGGACTCAGGGAGGAGTGTACATCTGTACTGCCTCCAACACTGCAGGACTGTCAGACACAGCTCAGGTCAACATCCATGTGAATTGTGAGTATGTCATTCATGCTATCATGATTCCTCAAAACACACATCAATGTGCAGTCTGAGTATGTCAGTCATGCTACCATGATTTCTTAAAACACACATCAATGTGCCGTGTAAGTATGTTAGTCATGCTACCACGATTTCTTAAAACACACGTCAATGTGCAGTGTGAGAATGTCAGTCATGCTACCATGATTTCTTAAAACACACATCAATGTGCCGTGTAAGTATGTTAGTCATGCTACCACGATTTCTTAAAACACACGTCAATGTGCAGAGTAAGTATGTCAGTCCTGCTACCATGATTCCTTAAACACTTGTCAATGTGAAGTGTGAATATGTCAGTCCTGCTACCATGAGTCCTTAAAACACACGTCAATGTGCAGTGTGGGTATGTCAGCCATGCTACCAAAATTTCTTAATACACACGTCAATGTGAAGTGTGAGGTGAGTTGAGTTGAGTTGAGCTTTACGTCACATCGGCATTTTTCCAGCCATATAGTGACGAGAACAAGTTTGCATTAGTAAATATTGTAAGTACATACTCGGAATGAGTTTTATTTCAAAGACATTTATTGATTACATTGTCATTCAAAAGCAGAAAAAGTCATAGCATCAAATTTAAAGGCAGGCGGTTTGTTACATTTCATAGTTACAATTTATGGTTGTTACATTTCACAGTTACAATTTATGATACAGATCAACTTCCCTCAGGTAGTTCAGTATCAGATGGGCGCTCACGCGTGAGAACAGATCTTTTAGGTTTGATGCATCATAATGTGAGTCCCTTGCAGGCGATAAGTCCACGCATTCAAGCAGAATATGCTTGACGGTGAACACCTCATCGCAAGAGACGCAAATGGGGGGTCCATCCCCATCTGTTTTCAGCAGATAGTCATGTGTAAATCGACTGTGGCCAATACGACATCGTCGTAAAATTACCACATCGCGTCTTGACTGACAACCCAAGTAGGTATAACCGATTGTTGGCTTAAATTCATGGAGTTTGTACTTCCTACTTGAGTGTCCCACCTTTTTTGCATCAGGTCCCGAGTATAGCTTTTGATAGTGGGTTTGAAGTCACTGTACGGGATTAGCAGTGGAGATAGGGGCTTTTCAAGAGCTGCTTTTGCTGCAGCATCGGCCTTAGTGTTACATGCTATGCCGACGTGACCCAGCAACCAGCAGAGGATGATGTCATATTGGCCAGTAGAAAGGTCGTTGTACAGTTCTAATATGTCCAGGATGATTGGGTGACTTGAAGTCACTTTTAGAAGTGCTTGAAGGCAGGATAATGAATCTATAAATACGATGAAGTTTTTGGACTGATTTTGCTGTTGAATGTAGGTCAAAGCTGAGAAGATAGCTTTGGCTTCAGCAGTGAAAATGGAACTGTTGTCGGGGATCCTAGACGAGACAGTCTTGGCTCCAATGACTGTAGCGCTGGCAACTTGGCCATCGTCCTTGGATCCGTCTGTGAAAATGCATCTGTGAGTGTGATACTTCGAACGTAACTGGTTGTATTCCTGTTGGAACACCAAGGGATTTGTTTCAGACTTTTTGAGTTTGGTGAGGGTAAGATCGACCTGTGGATCGACCAGAAGTCGGTATAGTAAATGATGTTGAGATCAATTTTAGCTGCAGATATGTGTGGTTTGATCCTGATTCCAAGTGGTGGAACCAGGCTTGGCAGTTTAGGAAATAAGTTTTCATAGAGCGGGATGAAAACACAATTGTATGCTGGATTGTACTCATTTGAACGTAATTTAGTGATATACTGCAGTGAGAGTTTAATGCGGCGTTGTTCAAGGGAAGGTTCATTGGCCTCTGCATATAGACTGTCTACCGGAGAGGTCCTAAAAGCTCCCAGGCAAAGCCTCAGTCCTTGGTGGTGGATAGAGTCTAATTTTTCTAAATTGCTTTTGCAGGCTCCACCGTAGACATTGGAGCCATAATCTAGTTTACTGCGAACTAATGATCTGTACAAGTAAAGGAGGGTGGTCTGATCCCCTTCCCACTCTGTATTTGAAACTACTTTTAGCAAGTCTAGAGCCTTCAAGCACTTTGTTTTCAGATATTTTATGTGTTGTAAGAATGTGAGGTGGCGGTCGAATATGAGTCCAAGGAATTTGGCCTCTTCTACTACCTTGATGGGAGTACCATCTAAAGTTAGGTCTGGATCCTTGTGTGGTTTGTATTTACGACAAAAGTGAATACAATCTGTTTTGGATTTTGAAAACTTAAAACCATTTTCATTGCGGCAGGAGCTGATGAAATCCATTATCAGCTTCTGAAACACCTCCCTGACACAGGCCTGGAAACACTCCTAAATATATTTGATGACATCTGGACATCCGGACACTTTCCCCCTTCATGGCACAATGCCATTATTATCCCTATACCAAAACCCGGTCGCGATCATACTGATCCCTCAAACTACCGTCCTACATCACTAACTAGCTGCGTTTGCAAAACCATGGAGCGCATGGTCAACAATCGATTAATCTGGTACCTGGAGACCAATAACCTCCTCAGTGACCTCCAATGTGGTTTCCGAAAACACGACATGAAATATTGAAGTCATCCACGAAAAGGGACCCATCAACGCAACTGTTCAGAACGTTAGTGAGGCTGTTAATTTTGATGCTAAAAAGTGTGACAGACAGGATGCTGCCTTGGGGGACACCCTGATCTTGGTGGAAATAGTCAGACAGTGTGAAACCCACCCGAACTTGAAATTGTCTGTTATTTAAAAACCGAGATATGCATTGAGGTAATCTTCCCCTCAATCCAAACTCGTATAAATCTTTTAGGATACCATGTTTCCATGTTGTATCATATGCTTTTTCTAAGTCGAAAAAGATAGATACTGCATGTTGTTTGTTGACAATGGAGTTTTTGATGAATGATTCCAGACGCACCAGATGGTCAATGGTACTTCGGTTTTTTCGGAAACCACATTGGAGGTCACTGAGGAGGTTATTGGTCTCCAGGTACCAGATTAATCGATTGTTGACCATGCGCTCCATGGTTTTACAAACGCAGCTAGTTAGTGATATAGGACGGTAGTTTGAGGGATCAGTATGATCGCGACCGGGTTTTGGTATAGGGATAATAATGGCATTGTGCCACGAAGGGGGAAAGTGTGCGGATGTCCAGATGTCATCAAATATATTTAGGAGTGTTTTCAGGCCTGTGTCAGGGAGGTGTTTCAGAAGCTGGTAGTGGATTTCATCAGCTACTGCTGCAGTATCGTAGTATCGTGAGCTTGTCCTAGGGCAGTACGTAATTCGTGGAGGGAAAACGTTTCGTTGTAATCCTCCCCATTATCAGAGTTAAAATTGACTGGTTTCTGTTCTTGTTGGGTTTGATATTTCTGGAACTGAGGGTTATAATTTGATGAGGAGAAGTGGTTTGCCAAAGTTTCACCGAGTTTGTTTGCAATTTCAGATTTATTTGTTAGAAGGGAGTCACCTTCTTTCAGGCGGTGAACTCCTGATTTTGACCCTTTGCCCTTGATCTTTTGAATCATGTACCACACGTTGGACATGGGAGTGCGGGAGTTGATTTTGGACACATATTTCCTCCCTGACCGGCGTTTAGTTTGTTTGAAGGTACGTTTTGCCCTGGCATTTGTCATTTTAACAGCATTCAGGTCATGCACTGTAGGATGTTGTCGGAAATATTTTTCCGCCTTCTTCCTATTTTTCCTAGCTTGTTTGCAGTTTGTATCAAACCATGGTTTGCGTATGTGCGGGTTTGCAGAGGACTTAGGAATACTTTTGTCTCCGATGGCATTTAGGACGTCTGAAAATAGTTCCATGGGGTCAGGAACATTCCTGAAGTTGTCCGGCTTAAGTTTTTCTGAACATAGGGTTTGGAATAAAGGCCAATTGGCCTTAGTAAAATTCTATCTTGTTGATGGTGGTTCATCCGTGGGGTTGATGGGAGTAAGATTTGTTGGGAAGTGATCGCTTCCACAAAGGTCGTCATGGACCGACCATTCGAACTCATTTAAAAGATTAGAATCTGTAAGTGATAGATCGAGAGCAGAGTATGTTCCAGTGGCAGGATGGAGGTAGGTGTTTGATCCATCGTTGAAGATGCATACATCATTATTTGAGAGAAACTCTTCAAGTATCTTTCCCTTACTATTTGTATCATTACTCCCCCATAGGGGGTTATGGCCGTTGAAGTCGCCCATGATTATGCAGGGCTTCGGGAGTTGATCATATAAGTTCTGAAGATCTGGTAGGCAAACGGTTGAGGTGGGAGGGAGATAGAGGGAACATAGTGTAAACCCTATGTTCAGAGTCATGCGGACAGCAACAGTTTGTAGGTTGGTTTAAGTGGAACAGGGCTATGAAGGATGCCCTGCCTCACCAGGATAGAGGTGCCTCCTGTAGCCTTTACACCGGGAGGAGAAAAGGAGTGATAGGAACTGTACCGACGGATGTCAAATTTATCGGTCCTTTTTAGGTAGGTTTCTTGGAGACAAAACGCAGATGGTTTGAAGTCTTGAATCAATAACTGTAATTCATTATAATTATTTTTAAGTCCTCTGCAATTCCATTGGATCATGTTTTGTGGAGTCATGGTGCTTCCACTGGTGACATGTCATGTGAACGTGAGAAAGCGTTTCATGAACTCTTATTGGTGTCAGGTGGAGTTGGAGTTACCTCCATATCCAGAGGGCCAAAGGAGTTATGGACCTCGATGGGGACCTCTGAGGGAGAGGTGGCCTTTGGTTTTGTGTTTGGCAGTTCAAGTTGTTTTAGTCTCTCTAGCCTCTTTCTTTCCCTTTTTCTGCGCGCAGTTTCTGTTTCTGGTTTTGGCATTTGTTCTGGTGTTTGTGATTCAGAAGTTTTGACTTTTGGCGTTTGAGATGGAGTGGCTGAGATAGGCTGAGTTGTGTTGAGTTGAGTTGGCTGAGAAGACGTGACCCATGTCAGGTCGGTCTGACATGAGATGGTTGCAGTAGTGATGGTAGGACGGGAGACAGC